GTCATATGCCGATATTTTAACACAGTGCAGTCACGCAACGTCAATGTCAATTTCACGAACTTGTGGCGGCACATCCTGTTTTGGTAACCAGATTTTTCCAAATAAAAGTTTTATTTAATTCAGTTCATATACAAATCAAACTTTTGCATGGGAACGCAAAACAATATTGCTAGGTGACGCAAAAGTTTTGCGAGGAAACGCAAAGGTATTGCTTAGGAATGCAAAAGAAAAAATAAACCATGTCCCCTCGCAGGTTATCTTCAAGACCAATTGGTTCTTTTAAATAAGAATTCTTTTTTTTTCAAGAAGTCATTGGTGGGCCAGACTGAAGTCACCCTTTGGCCTGATGTCACCCACGACCCCCAGTGTAGTAGTCCTGCTTTAGACTTATTTCAGAAGTGAAACGTGTGGAGCTGGAAGCTTCTGACCTTGATATCTGTGCTGCATCAGTAAAACGAGCGGCATGTTTCACAATACCTTCACATGCAATGCACAGATGAGCAAAGCAAAGTACCGTTACCCATTTGTGTGTTATCAGTTTCTAAAACAACACTAAATAATCAGTAATTCAAGTTTGGTTACAAGCAGACACAACTTTTCTTTTAACAGCTGTCATGACAATTTTCTCATATCTTGATATGTTTTTGAATAGATTTCCCAAAATCAGCAATCACAAACTCTACAGAGGTCAAAACTCTCTAACTCACATTTTTTGAAGGAAATTGTGTCAAATTTGAGAAAATAACGCTCTTYGAGATTTTTGCTGCCAAGTTTCCTTAATGATGTCAAATGATCTGAACTTTTATAGAACTTTATCAAGTCCCTACAGACTCCAAAGATCTTTAYGCTAAAGGCACACACACACATTCACACACTGATGAAGGTGAGCTACATTGTAGCCACAGCTGCCCTGTGGCACTGAGGCGGGGCTGCAATGCTCCTCTGACCACCATCAGCAAGGTGGGKGAAATGTCTTGCTCAAGGACACAATAASTAAAATGGTTGGAAAAGGGGGTCAAACAGGCATCCCACCGGTTAGGATGGCTCCCCTTACCACTCTTCCAGAGCTGACCAGTTTGATGTGGTTCTTTTTTTAAATGGGGTTCTGAGGAAAGCTTGTAAATTATGAGTATTTTGCTTGTTGCCGGCAACTTTTTGAATAATTCAAAAATGAAACAAAAAATAGAGTTTCATTGTGACCCAATTGAGTTGTGTCATTTATCAGCAATAGTCCAACATATCTGCAAAATGAAAAAAGAAATACAGTAGGTCTGCTTGAATAAAAAAGTTAGACAGTGTAAAACAAAATCATATGTAGTTTATCCACTTTCAAATTTTGGTGTAAATATCAATGGCAGTTTTAAATAGGGTTCCAGTTGTGGAGTTGTCTTTATTAAACTTTCAATGAGAAAAATTCAAAGACATATTAACTTCAACTGAACACCCTTGGTACCACTTTACAATAAGGCTCCCCTTATAGAAGGCTTATAGATAGTTTATAGATAGGTTATTAATTTATCTGTAAACACTTTATAAATCATCAATATGTGTTTATTATGCATTAATTAAGGACGAGAAAGAGACAAAACTGTTCGGTTTCTTGCCAAATAGTGAGCCAAATCTGTTCATGTACATATTACTTCTTAAGATGCTATATTAAACATTTCATGTTAGGTTTTTACCTTAATGTATTGAAAACATATTTTACATATACTATTGTACTGTATTACTGCATTGTACATATCCACAACTATCAAAGATAGCCTTATTGTAAAGTGTAAAACAGTACCCTTATGACATTTCTACATGTTTATTAGNACTGAACACCCTTGGTACCACTTTACAGTAAGGCTCCCCTTATAGAAGGCTTATAGATAGTTTATAGATAGGTTATTAATTTATCTGTAAACACTTTATAAATCATCAATATGTGTTTTTATGCATTAATTAAGGATGAGAAAGAGACAAAACTGTCCGGTTTCTTGCCAAATAGTGAGCCAAATCTGTTCATGTACATATTACATCTTAAGATGCTATATTAAACATTTCACATTAGGTTTTTACCTTAATGTATTGAAAACATATTTTACATATACTATTGTACTGTATTACTGCATTATACATATCCACAACTATCAAAGATAGCCTTATTGTAAAATGTAAAACAGTACCCTTATGACATTTCTACATGTTTAGTAGTCATTAATAATAGATTTATAAAGCATTTACAAATGAATTAATAACCTATAACTATTTATAAGCCATCTATAAGGGGAGTCTTATTGTGAAGTGGTACCACACCCTTTATTATCTGGTGCCAGATGGAGAGAGAAGAAGTCCCTGTCAGGCACAAGTCTTTGCACAACTTCTCCCGTTTCCTGTCTCTCACATGAGGAAGACTACTTGTCAATTTAAACACCTATGGTATTAACCAACAAGTAATTCAGGAAAACATGTTTCAAAGCAGCCTGTGACCAATGGTTCACTCTGCCCCGCTTATGTTACACAATGTCAGGTCAGTAAAAGTTACTGTTGCTTTCTTTCAGCCTTGCATCAGTCACAATTAAATGCACACAGATAATTTTATTGAGAAACAATAAAATACAATAGTTTCAAAATGGCAATGATCCGCTTCGGTCCTGGACCCACTCAGCTTAGCTGGACTATGTTTTCCTCCAAACTGATGGTTATTCAAAGAGCAACTGTTTTAACAAATAAGATACTGATTGTTTATAACCACTCCACAAACCCCCACTATGGGTATAGCATCACAAGTGGACTTGGTCTTGTACGTTTCTGGTTTTAATGATTGGAAGCTGTCAACCCAACAAGATTTTGGATGCTGTTTACTTCTTTCTTACTCTGACCTAAAGTCTTTACCTTCAGTCCAAAGAGTTTTAAAAGTTTGGGTTTTAAAGTAGGAACCTAAACCAGTCACCTCCCTCCAACTTGCTGACTTGAAGTTGTTTCCTTGGTAATCTGGTTTGAAACTTACGGCGCTTATTCAGTCGTGGTTGTGTTGATGCCTTTTTTCTCATGACATCCAAATTAAAGTGCTATTCTGAAACAGTGATTGGGCCTTTCATCATTTTTTATTACATTACATTTCATTATCAATTGATAGCAATATAATTCTTCTTAATAATCTCTGTTCACATTAATTTCAGGTTTTTCTCGCTGCCTTTTATTTACTGCTCAAATACATACAACYTGAAATTATTTATATCCATAATCATAAACAATACAAGTCAGAGAAATTGTCCCAGAAATAACGTGGAAATATTTTAAAACAGCAATTATTGAAGCTGATATTTACTGCAGATTGACATGTTAACAATCTTTTTTCTTCTTTTCTGTCAGAACACTCAGCCATACACAACATCAACATATTAACATTTGGTGAAGAGGATGCAAGGGAATACTTCGTCTTCAAAGGTCAGCTCTTTTTTTACACTATGTGCTGAAAAACAACTGTATCATATTTTTTCCCTTTTTTCCAACTACTTTGCTTTGTAAAATTTGAACCAGACAATTTAGACGAAATCCTGTGATATTCACACCTCTGTTTCTCGTTTTAGCACTGTCATTGGACCAATTATCACAAGAGACAATGAGCCCATTGTTGCTTCAAGAAATGTGAACACTTTCAAATAAAAGTGTAAAAAGATGTAGAATACGTAAAGCACGTCTTCCTTGAGGTGCCCAAAAACACCAAGGCTCCGAGCAGCCTGTGAGGAACTTCGTCATACCCCTTGTAATAAATCTATTTTCATCCCCCCACCCCCCCAACTTTGAGATGGAGCTCAGCTGTTTCTGCATTTGGATTAATGCTTGGAGAGTGACTGATTGGTGAGACAGATGTGCTGCAAAATACCAAACAGGAGAAGGAATGATCAAAGGACTGGGGAAGTGCAGACGTTGACAGCCCTCAGGATTTTTTTTAATTTTTTTCTTTGTCCTTTTTTTTATTATTGTCAGATGTAAAATTATGTGCAAAAACTGTTTGTCTTTTCCAGTGTACATGAAAACTTTATTTGTGCTGTTGGTAAACCCTCTCATAGAAAACTCAACAAGGCCAAAGGTTGATGAGGTAAAATATATGGTGTGACGATGAAACAGATGCTTTGTGAAAAAAAAAAAACGTTTTATAAAAAAAAAAAAACAGCTTGTGYGTCTTGACAYATTTTCCATTTTGTCCGTAGGGTACTTGTATGCCTTTGATTCCTTCTTTGTGAATCTAGCTCGGTAACATCTAAGCTACCCTAGAACTAATGAATTCACCAGAAATGTGAAATCAGTAGGTTCTTTTCAATACTTGAAATGCCTTATTTATGTTCAGTCATTCACAGGATGATGCTGTACATACGAAGACGTTCGTTGGTGTGTGCTGGATTCCATTAAAGTCATTGTTCCTGGAATTTTGTCATTTAGTAAAATATGAACCTGCAGACGTAAAAACATTTTTCCAACACTGAAGGATGTTAAGATTTGTCCGGGCCTGAAAATACATAAAAACATACATATTTACAGAAGCTTATGTGCGCCCATAAATTATACCTAAAGATGTCCTTTACAACACACAACTCATTGAAATTTATCTTTTAAAAAACAATATGCAAATAGTTACTGTATCTGCATTTTTCTGGGTAAACTGCAAACAATAAGTTAATAAATTGAGTATATAAAGCAGGGCTATTCAACTAAATTGCTCCAGGGGCCACAGTTACTCAAAGTCAACAGGTCTGGGTTAACTGGGGGATGTGGGGTTGCATCCTGAGAGAGTTGGGGTGTTTCCCTCTAATGTTAGGTGAAACACTGCAGTATATCAGATCATTACTGTTTTTACCTTTTAAATTAGTTTATTATGTTGCCTTGAATTAGAAATTTTACATTAACAAACGATTTGTAGGTGCTGATTGGTGGTCCAGATAGAAGTCACATGTGGGCCGGATGTGGCCTGTGGGCTGCTAGTTGAATAACCCTGATATAAAGTAAGGAAATATTTTTTGTTGTAGCAGTGATTCTGTTAGAAAGTGTGTTGAAATGGTGCCATCATCCATCCATTTTATTTTTCTACTTTTCCTTTCCTGGTCATGGCGGCAACAGTGACCCCGCTACAACCAGGATGACCTGAGGCCCCTTTCCAACAGTCATTGTGTGAGAACCAGGGTACACAAGTCCATCACAGAAGTTATGGCACATTTGTTGGTAAAATTTATTTGTAGGTTGAGCAGTAAAATGAGTTTGTTGGCTGCATCCATGAAAGTCTTGTCAAATTCTCTCTCTCTCTCTCTCTCTCTCTCTCTCTCTCTCTCTCTCTCTCTGATGATGATGATGACTCTTAATTTAAGAAGGGGTTATCTGCGGAATCAAAGTGGGCGTGTCACAAGAGTGGGCGTGTCTAAAGCATAAACACTGTGGGCTACGAGGCCTACATGACGGCATCCTTAGGTCCTGCTTGATGTCTTTACAGCCTGACCCTGACCCCAACACTAAGGTTAACTAGGAGAAATGTGACCCAAGTAGTGGTCTCCAGAAAAAGTTGTGCCGGACAGTAACGCCCCTTTTGTTCTTGTCCAATCAGGTGGTGCCGTACGGTATTGACCCTTTTGTTCTTGTCCAATCAGGTGGTGCCGTACGGTATCGCCCCTTTTTTGCTTGTCCTGTCAGGTGTGTCCCTTTAACAAAGTCCGTCAAATCAGGTGTGTGTCGCTTTAGAATCGCCTTTCCTTGTGACGCGCCCACCCGTCCGCACTCGTCCGCAGAGACCCCTATTTTCTTAGTTTTGGTGCTGTTTATTGGATTAAAGTATAAAGACACAAGATATGTAAAGCATGTGAAGCATTCTCAATAATCTACGAGGTTCAGTCAGGTCCTCTGAATGGTTTGTCTTTTGTCCAAAAGATCTCTTCAGTCTGAGGACTTGCAGGTAAGCTCAAAATTATAAGCAGTACCTTTACACAGTGGATCAACCAGTTTGCTGGTGACATCCAAAACTAGTTGTTCACATGTGAAAGAAGGATCTAAAGACCARTTGTTAGTAACAGAGGGGGACAATTGGATACAGAATCTTCCACCCCTGTTTAACAGAACAAGGATGGCTTCCTTTGCTCCTCAAACCAATGTTCTTCTCTATCAAGGATGTGAACATCTTCATCCCTGAAAGAGTGACCACTGGCCTGCAGATGACATATAGCAATTTTACACTTTATTTGTCTAACAAACAAGGAAGGACCATAGGCATGGCAGCCATGCTGCTCATCAACTTGGTCACACACTGCTGTGGGATGGCAACCAACAGTTGTCGCCACTTCTCCCAATGTGGTTGTGTTGGTCACTTTAGAATAAACAGCACTCCCAAAGTGATCCTGCAAGTGTTCAATGAGGTTATTATCAGAACCGCAGGCAGGTCATTCGATCCTCTCCACTCAGACTCTGGAGGTAGTTTCTGACAAACTCTGTGGGGACAAGTGTTGTCTTGGAAAAGAGAGTTAAGTCTCAGACTGTAGAGATATGGCATTGCTCACAGTTTCTGATAGTCAAGCACCAAAAGCTCAAAATAAGTGTCAATAGCACAAAAACTTGTTTGGGAGAGAGGACTTTTATGGTCCACATACCCAACTCAGCTGCTCAATCAAAAAAAAAAAAAAACATTTTCCAAACAAATATGGCACCTCTAAGGTGAAATAAATAGGCTTTCTAACAGTATGGGATTCATTGCCAAGAAGCATTTCTACAACAAAGATACMAAACAACATAATTTTTCATACTTTTTTGTGATGTGTTTAGTTGATCTTTTTCAAGTTGTAGCCTATCATTTTACCGACTGACTGATTGCGTTGATCTTATCTAGGGCAGCACAAAAACATAATAACTGAAATGTTTAAATGTCAAACATGAAACATTTTCTAATTCTACAAATTAGTTTTTTCTTTATTATTTTAACCCTAAACCAAGCTTTTACTGTTTTTTAACATCCTATTAAGCCAAATCCAAACAACTCAAATGTGAGAGAAAAAGAGGAATATGAACTTCGTCCATTTATCATCTTTATCTGCTCCTTGTTTTCCGGGTTGCAACAAGCCTGTGCTTATTTCCAGCAGTCAGACTGCACGAGGAGCAGGGTACATCCTGGACAGGTCGCGAGTGGATCAAAGGACCACATAGAGACAAACAAGACAAACATCAACTCATAGGGACAATTTAGTTACTAATTAACCTARCATGCATGTTTTTGTTCWGTGGRAGGAAACTGGAGCTCTAACAACTGCACCACTGTGCTGCCAGGAAAGCAAACCGACTCAGGAAAAATGTTTCGGACTGAATGAGGTTTACTTGTTAGAAAGTTGATGAACTAATGTTCCAATTCCTCCTCCTGTCAACTTGTGCTTTTCAGGGATTTTTTTTTTACTGATTTTGTCTTTATTGTGAAAGTTCCAGGTATTATGCTGTGAACTTTTGTACTCATTACAGTTTCTGCTGTAAGTTCTAGTTGACATATCTGAGGCTTTTGTTCCATACTTTTCCCAAGAACACCTTGACATATTTGACTCAGTCYGATTAGCGGACGACCTGCCCTACATTGTGAGATACAGCACAGTGTGGGGAAACATGCTGATATAGAAATTTTACTGACTTTTAACATCAAATAAATTACTGTGATGTCAGATCAAGACTTCTTCTCTGCTTAAGCTGGTTGGTCTGCAGTCTTTTAACATGAAAACAGCCTACTTGTTATTTTCTTTTTAAAGAGGGATTCTTTTACTATTTTTCTTTTTTCACATTTAGACAGAGCTTTCCAGCTTCTTTGAGCTTTTATGCTAAACTAAGCTGCAGCTTCTTGCACTTGCTTCAGAATTAACAGCCATATCTACAATTATCATATCTTCTCCTCTGTGGCAAACATAGTGATTAAACATCACTTCCCAAACTGCCAAATTATTGCTTTTAGTTATCACAGCTAAAATCATCTGATTAACCTGAGCACACTTGCATCTTTAAGCTAGATACACATTCATTAATTGGAGTCACTCTGCTTTATACGGGAGACTTTTAGAAAGATTACACACATAGATGAATGTGTAATAGGACTCCTGTAAGTGCAGCACACAGTGGGATACTGACCGCTGCTTACACAGCCGCAGCCCACTGGGAATTACTCCCAGAGGAGCTTCTGTGCAGAGTATCATCCATCTGTGGAGAAAAAATAGAACTTTTTTCTTTTCTAAGCTTTTAATGTTCTATGGCTCGTTCAGACTCTGCATCGTTTAAAGCTCTCGCTTGTCTTGCTTGTTCAAACGCACCAGATCTTCAATTTCCAAGACAAAATCCCGATTCATTTTTTATCTGCTTTTGATACTAAAAATAATTTACCCTCATCCAACTCTAGCCTTGATCTGCCAGCAGCGACAACTTTGGGGCCAGAAAGAAAAAGCGGCATGAGGCTCTCTAACAACTTGTGTGACATGACAGTTTTCTTTGTTACACATGCATTATAAGGCATGTCTAACAGTGAATCTGGTAGAGAAAAAAAAGAAAAGAGAAAAAAGAATGAGTGCTTTGGTCTTTTTAACTGAGACAAAGCATAACAGTACTTTGTTMTGCCTTATGTTACTCAAGACTTCAGTTTTTGTCTTTAAAACTTTCACCAAGAGTCACAGACCTGTGACTGTTGGAGACTGGTTGGACTGGTTGGTGCCTCAATGTTGTGAAAAAGTAACAAGAAAACAAGTTTTCTGTTGCAGACTCACTGAATTCTGGATTTGACTATGTGACCAGTGAGCAATACAGCTGTGTCTTTAAAAATTACACCTTATTTTTGTGTGAATGTCTTACAAAACTGTGCACTACAGTGTGCATATTGTTTAGCTGCCCACCCACATTGGTATTGTTTATCGTTGGTATAGTTTTTAGACCTGGACATTGCATCAAATATTTTTTTTTGTCAGATGTGGAAATATTCCCATATGAAAGCGGAATTATAGTTTCAATGCTCCTGAGATGGATGGTTGGAGATACAGTATCTGTGGCAAAACACAGATGCATTTAAGACACCTGCAACAATTGTGTGGCTATTTTGAAAAGTTGTGCCAAAGCTGCAAGTCATGCAAAGAAAACTATACCCCCCAATAACAATCCAAGCCATTTTAAGGAATCCCACACAAATGCCATTCATTCATCAACGAATCACCAACAGCCACAGTGCATTGAGGTTCCACTTTTAGTGAATGTAGTGTGAGATACTATCAAGAGCATTGAGATACTACCCACATAGCAGACAGATTTGGGCCAGATCTCGTCAACATGGCACTGATGGCATGGCGAGGGGTTTGTCAACCAGATGGCACTTGATGGCGAGCCACAACTGACTTGGATTATGGGGTCCTGGCAACTGGGCCAGACAATTTTTGCTGAATGG